CTCGTTTTTAAAAATGCTCATAACTTGAAAATTATTTATCAGAATCACCTCAAACTTTCTACACAGCATAAGGACATCAATGTGTATCAGAAAATGTAATAAAAATTTGATGTGATTTAGAAGGCATTTTTTGGAAAAAATCATGGGCTATAATTTTCAGATTCTTGACATTTTCTTGAAATGGCTGTAACTTGAAAAATTGAAGTTGGAAGCACTTCAAACTTTCTACACAGCATAAGAACATTAATATGTATCAGAAAATGTGATAAAAATTTGGGGTGATTTCGGAGCCATTTTTTGGAAAAAACCATGGGCTTATAGCCTTGGGTATTTTTCAGAATTTTGACATTTTCTTAAAATGGTCGTAACTTGAAAAATTGAAGTTGGAATCAGCTCCAACTTTCTACATAGCATAAGGACATCAATATGTATTTTAAAATGTAATAAAAATTGGGGGTGTTTTTAGAGCCATTTTTTGAAAAAACCATGGGCTATAGCCTTGGGTATTTTTAAGAATTTTGACATTTTCTTAAAATAGCCGTAAGGCCCGTAACTTGAAAAATTGAAGTCGGAATCAGCTCCAACTTTCTACATAGCATAAGGACATCAATATGTATAAAAAAATGTAATAAAAATTTGGGGTGATTTCGGAGCCATTTTTTGAAAAAAACCATGGGCTATAATAATAATAAAAATTATTATCAATTTTTTGAAGGCAATAAATTGTGTGATTCTTTAGATAAATCTAAACTTATGTTAAACACACTTTTTACTGATTACTTTGTAAATAACTTTGATTCTTCTTTAATTTGTTCGTTTCATTTTTGTTGTCCTTGTTTCAATTGTGTCTAAATGTTTTTCTGTTCATGTATTTATTTATGTTCTAGCATTATTATTTACTATGTAATTTTAGGTGGCCAGTCTTGTTACTGTGTTTGCCTTCGATACATCTCTTTTTTTGTTTCTTTTCTTTTTGTCACATTTTATAGTATGTATTGTAAAGTTTATTAATAATAATAATAATAATAATAATAATAGCCTTGGGTATTTTTCAGAATTTTGGTATTTTCTTAAAATGGCCGTAACTTGAAAAATTGAAGTTGGAATCAGCTCAAACTTTCTACATAGCATAAGGACATCAATATGTATAAGAAAATGTAATAAAAATTGGGAGTGATTTTGGAGCCATTTTTTGAAAAAAACTATGGGCTATAATAGCCTTGGGTATTTTTCAGAATTTTGACATTTTCTTAAAATGGCCGTAACTCAAAAAATTGAAGTTGGAATCAGCTCAAACTTGCTACACAGCATAAGGACATCAATATGCAACGGAAAGTGTAATAAAAATTGAAGGTAATTTTATAGCTAATATTTAGGCTTTGACCAAATTTTTTAATTAAGGAGTTATTATGTTTGCAACTCATAAGGGAATTTGATATTTTATTTATAATAAACATAAGGAGTAAAATTAGATTAGTAGGCTCATTGCAAGCAAGACATGTATGGGAATAGAACTTCCTTTTATGGTCACAAACATGATAAATGTTTTCACATGAATGGGAACAATGGAGAAGAATGCCAGAGAAATGAGAATGAGGAGTAAAGGTACAAGGAAAAGCAGATGTTAAAAGGGTACACAAAATAAAAATAGCAGAAAAAGAATCTTTTTTTTCCATACCTCTCTGAAGCTAATTTGATTGTCGTGATCTTCATTGACTTCTTTTATCATGGCCTTCAGTCCAAGGTGGGTCTGGGGCTCTCCCAGTTTCTCCAATCTCCATCATCAGCTTAAGCTCCATAAAATCAATAAAACCACTCTTATCTACATCTGTAGTGAAGGGTAAACTGTGTATCAATTATTATTATTATCATTGTTATTATTGTCATTATTATTATTATTATTATTATTATTGTTTTACTTAGTGTACAACAGACTAATAATATTGTGGTTGCATATTATTATTTTCACGCATGTGCACATCATTATCAGTTCAGCAGGGTTGCCAGATCATGAACAAAGTTCATGTTTCATGACCTTTTCAGCCTTGGCATGAACTTTTCATGAACTACTTTTTTTTCATGAACTTTTCATGAACTTTTGAGACTTTTATAAACTTTGAAAATTCAATGTTTGAGGTTTTGATTTAGCTCTCAAAATCAGCCATCAGCAAGATTTTAGTGATAAGCATCATCTTATGAAAGTTATAAAAATAAATTAATATAGTTATTAAGTAGTTATAAAAGTTATTTCTTGGTTATTAAAGTTAATTTAGTGGTTATTATAGTTAAGTAAGTAGTTATTAATGTTAATTCTGTAGTTATTAACCTGTGGTTGCAAAATTTTGAAAAACATGAACTTTTTTGGGAAAACATAAACTTTTTGACAAAATTTTGTGAACAATTGGCCAAACCTATCTGGCAACACTGCACTGATCAGTTGTCTGACTCATGCTCACTCTCTTCTCTCTCTTCTGTTCTGTTTGGACATCTCTCATTATCACTTCTAATCATCGTTCTATTAACGACTCTTTGAGTCCTATTATTGAAAGAGATTGTTTATTAGCAAATATTAGTTTGGTTATAAACCAACACATCATATCTGAAAAAGAAAGCGCATTAGTGTGTAAACTAGTATGTGTAAACAAGCATTCATTCATTATGTATACTTTACAAATATCTTTCTGTATTCTTTGATTTCTTGTATAGAGAACTCTTTAAACTCTGCGTACACTGACTGGGAGACTTCTCCGTCGTTTATCTGCTGTTGCCTGTTTAACTTGCTTGCAACTGAGCTCAGTCTGATTCAGCCATTTCTATTCTAAAAGTTTACGGTCGCTGTAATAAAGGCCCCCATACACTAGGCAACATGTTGCTTGCAACATTTGTGGTTACTTTGATCTTGTAAGCAACATGTTGCCAGAAATAGAAAGATGTTCTATTTTTGGCAACATGTTGCTTGGTTGCTAGCAACAAGTTGCCTCTTGTATGTATGTTTTATTTTATTGTGGCTATCTACACACCCACTTAGATCTATTTGGATCATTGCATGTTCCGTAAATCCTTCCATGTGCATGTATAATGTAGTTTACGGAGCACGCAAGTGTGATCCAAGTCAAGTCAGTATCTATGGTCATAAAATCTATGCTATGGTCAAGTGGAGTGGTTGTCCCTAAAAAGCGAACCGGACCGGACAAATGGACCCGAAAAGACTAATTTACGGACCGAGCGACGGACCCGATACAAACTAATTTATGGACCCGACCAAGGGACCCGAAAAGCTAAAGTACGGACCCCGCGTTAATGACCACGGACCTGACCGACCTAGCAGCATAGATATCTATGCTAGTATCAGTATCTATGATCTTGCAAACTCTATGATGGCCTAGACAACATACAGAACTTCCGTGAAAAAAATGATTTTTATCTATGGTGATAGTGATGCTATCAGTTGAGTCATAATACAATCAATGAGGCCGTAGTTCATTGTATTGATCACTGATGTCTGTAATTTCAACTTGAGTTAGTAGTTTGTTATATTCATGCATCAGCAATTATTTATTTATTTAAAATTTTACAGTGATCGGCAATGAGAATGAGAACGGTTAAGAAGCTAGATAAAACAAGCACTGAAGGCCTGACCAAGGAAGCACATGATGGCCATGAAGCCAGAATATAAAGAAAAAAAAGAAGTGAAAAAGAAAAGAAAAAGAAACAAAAAACAAAATAGAGAAAGTAAAATACAATCAAAATTAAAACGGTAGTAATGATGATCATAATAATAATGATTA